AACTTCTTGGTATTGATTTTACAAGGATAACAACTTAGGTTTACAAGGATCCTTTCTACCAGCAGGTCCTTGACCAAACCTCTTAGTAATGATTTCACAAGGATCCTTTCTACCAGCTGGTTCTTGGTCAAACCTCTTGTTATTGATCTNTCCCAGATTATCTGTACCCATTTACTGCTGGGTCGACTGGAATAATGAGGAAAGATGTCTTATTTAAGTTTAACAAACTTTCACACTGACTGAGATAATAACACACAACCACCATTTGTTTGACATAACCAAGGAAATGACATCATGTGAAGATTTCAACACTCTAACCAACTCTGCTACAGCCTGTGTTATATGCTAGACACAAGCTCGCTAAGGGTTTCAAAATGATGGAGTATTTGTAATTTTTTTTTACCTTATTCAAAAAATTGACGTTACATCTGGATTTATTGAGGGCATCATGCACTTTATCATAATTCAATTCAAAAACACCATAGATTAGATCCTGAAAATATTAATACAGAACCTGAAACATGTTAAACAGAGTTTCACGCTATGCGATCTTCAGACAACTGACCTATTTCAGCCTGTGTTCCTTCTGAAGTTGGACAAGCAGAGATCTTCACATGTTGTTATTCAGAGTTTCACGCTATGTGATCTTCAGACAACTAAAACAGAACCTGAAACCTGTTGTTACTCAGAGTTTCACACTATGTGATCTTTAGACAATTAAAACAGAACCTGAAACATGTTGTTACTAAGAGTTTCATGCTATGTGATCTTCAGACAACAAAAACAGAACCTGAAACATGTTGTTATTCATAGTTTCACACTATGCGATCTCTAGACAACTAAAACAGAACCTGAAACATGTTGTTACTCAGAGTTTCACGCTATGTGATCTTCAGACAACTAAAACAGAACCTGAAACATGTTGTTATTCAGAGTTTCACACTGTGTGATCTTCAGACAACTAAAACAGAACCTGAAACATGTTGTTATTCAGAGTTTCACACTATGTGATCTTCAGACAACTGACCTATATCCGAACACACAGGGCCTTGGTTTATCGTCCTATACGAATGATTATACCCTATTTCCATGTCAGCTTCTCGGAACTCACAGAGCCACCGTGGCTCCCCTCTTAACTCACAGAGCCACCGTGGCTCCCCTCTTAACTCACAGAGCCACCGTGGCTCCCCAGTGTACGGAACGAAGCTTACCAGAGTATCCTTATATTCGTCTATAATCTGAACTATATCATGGTATTTTAACTGAGCTGCAAACTGACGTAAAGTTTGACCGTTCTAAAATACAAAAATAGAAATTCTTTTTACTCTCCGACCACATTAAGCTCTCATTTCAAAAATATATTAGTCATCCTTAAAGGAACAGGTTCACCATCTGTTTGACCTAACATACCTTAGTCTCAGAAACAGGAATTTTTTAGCTAAGCTAATCAGTCTTTTCTTGAGACACTGTCATTTATAGAAAAGACATCTATAGAAATAGTGAGTAAAATTCCTAGATTGAGATATTTTTAAAGGAATTATGCAATTTTACGTACATTTCTAGTATTTCTGAAGACTATTTACATATATTCAAAACTCAAATCAACCAAGCCTAAAGACTTACCCTAGTACAATCTACTTTCGTCCAATAACTGATCAGTTCTCGAATTTTATCACCGTCACGTTTTTCAACAGCTTCAAATATACCCGGCTAAAATATATTATCAGCAGAATTAAAGATAGAAGCAACCAGTTTTTACAAGGATAATAACTTAGGTTCACAAGGATCCTTTCTACCAGCTGGTCCTTGACCAAACCTCTTGGTATTGATTTTACAAGGATAATAACTTAGGTTCACATCATGTTAAGATTTCAACACTCTAACCGATTGGACTACAGTCTGTCCTAAAACAAATCATGAAGTATTCTTACCAAATATTTCTCATAAATTGTGTTCCAATATTTATTTTTATGTGGTAGTTCTGCCGCCGTTTTACCTTCCTGAAATTATACAACAGAGGACAATTTCAAAACAAGTAAACAAGCACAGTCAATTCTTATAGGTAGGTATTTGGAGGGTGGGGGCAACTCTCGAAAGCACAGGTAGGGTGAGGGTTCAATAGAAGCCAGCTGGAATTGACAACCTTGGTTTCCTTATTTTTTAGTGTCAAATTAAGCAAACTATTTGATTAATTGGTGTTTCTAATGAATTATCATGTATTCTTAATCATATTATTATGTTCTTATTGCATATAATTAAAGATGGGTTTCCTTATTTTTTAGTGTCAAATTAAGCAAACTATTTGATTAATTGGTGTTTCTAATGAATTATCATGTATTCTTAATCATATCATTATGTTCTTATTGCATATAATTAAAGATGGGTTTCCTTATTTTTTAGTGTCAAATTAAGTAAACTATTTGATTAATTGGTGTTTCTAATGAATTATCATGTATTCTTAATCATATCATTATGTTCTTATTGCATATAATTAAGAGTTTTAACCAATCATAAATGTCCATGTCTGTACAGCCTGGATAAACAAAAAAAAAGACTTTTTGACCTTTCTTGATCCGTCACTCATTGGAATTCTGCTGGTAATTCTCTTCTAATTTAGCTAATAATGAATTAATTATGGACATGTGAGACAAACTGGTATTTTTGCAAGTCATTAGAACACCTCTAATTTCTATTCATATAAGTATAAGCATTTTCATTTTCATAAATAAAAATAAGGGAACCCATCTTTAGGTTTTTCGGGGAATTACAAATTGAATTTAAATGCCAAAATAGCTTGATAACCTCTTCA